TGCTGGTCTCTGAGCCTCCCTCCCAGCACCGCCTCCCACCCTCCTCCCTGACCCCCAACACCCACCCACCGTCCGCTGAGACTCCGACCGAGTCAGTGACACACTGCCTTAATTGCACTAAGTGTGTTTTGTGTAAAAATATCAGCCAGACCTGCACCCCTTTCCTGAACCGTCAATCTTCCCGAAAATCGCTTAGCTCTTAATTTAATAAACATGGAATCTTTTTCTTTTTTCTCCCTTTACAATAAACATGGGCGGTCTTGTGTTACCACCAGAACACATGTTGTATCGTTAGGATTCTGATACGTCCAGCTCCGGCCGGTTGTTGTCATTCTGCTCCCAGTGTGAGGCTTCACCTGTGTCTCTGCTAAATACTTCATTTTGACGCAGTATTCCAAGTTGGAATATTGGTGGTGAGAACCGTAAAATCCACACTGAGGCAGACAAAGTAGCTACAAACACACACTAAAACGATGACATCATCAAATTCGACGCCTGACTTTTTCCCGTCTGTAGCGTGAACTTATTTGCATTTTCCATCGGCAACAAATTAAATTTGAGGAGAGAGAAACCAAAATGAAGAGAATACACACACGTGTGTGTTTTAAGGTGAATGATGTTCAGCTGCTGCAGCAGGATTTCACCAGGATCAGAGTGAAAACCACGGCCCACAGCAGCCCACAGAACATCAGTGTGTCCACATGGTTTTACTCAGGAGAAGACAGCAAGGATTTCATGGTAGTAAAAAAATAAACCATAAGAGACGGAGGAGACGATGTAGGACACTTCATACAACAGTAACTACTAAATGAAAACAACTGATGTAAAAAACGGTGCAACTTACAGCTCCAAAAACAGCTCCAGCATAACTTCAGTTACACTGGAGCTGTTTTTATAATAATAATAATTAGGGATGTTCGATGTTAACTGTTTTTCCCGATATTGTCCAAACACTTAATTTCCGATTCTGATATCAACCGATACTGATGTATGCAGCCGTCCCCAAAACTGAGGTAAACGTCTCAGCGCCGTCTGCCCCCAAAACGTCTCAGGATCGTAAGTGCGACTCCAGCTAATTTGGCAGTGTGTTATCGGATTTTTATCGGAGGAAGAAAATGATAACGATCTTACCGACATTACGAAATTATGCTAATATCGTATTTTCATCATCCGAGGAAAAACTGAAATGCTAATATTGGCCAACAAGTATTATCGGATATTCCTAATAATAATAACAACAACAATAATAATAATAATATATGTCACTTTTGCCAAAACTATTTCCGCCGTAAGCTAAGAAATATAGAAAATACGTTTTGCATTTCAGGGCGACAATAACTTCAAATGTTCGCCTGTTTGGAGCGGACCCTCCCGACAGTGTGACGTGAAGAGGGCTGTGAACCACAGGTTTCATCCCTTAGAATGAATAAAAAATATTAAGTAACACATTGTTCTTTTTCTGAGGGAAACAAAAAAATCTCCTCGTGTGTTGTCATCATTTACTGCATGGGTGAAAGAGATTCCCTGTGCATGCGTGAGTGGAGCGGTTGGTGAATGTGTGTGTCTGTGCTCCATTGTTGTACTCACAGGCATCAGCACGGCCGAGGAGCCGGGCATGGTCGGGTCTGGCAGTGTTCCAGGCATGGAGGCAGGCAGAGGCTGTCTCTGTCGGTTTCGTAGATGCAACAGCGAGGACAGAGACCCGGGCACAGGCCTGACGACACACACACACACACACACACACGTGTCATACAATAACACAGAACTCAACAAGCAACACCGCAGTGTTAATTATAACCTCGGACATGAAAAAAAAAAAAAAAAAATCCCAACTGTGACCTTCCGTAAATGTATGAAAAGTGATTGATAACATAGAATAACACAGCTGTAATTATCTTTAATAACATGTGGTTTGGACTAAACACTCCTTTTATCTCCTGGAGCCCACATCGCAGTGTGTTATAAACACACATTCGGTGTGTGTATGGAATACAGAGGGTGGTTAAAATAAACTATCAGCGTGTTTGTTGATATGTGACGGTTAGAGGAGCCAGAGAAAACTGAGGCTGTGAAACCGAGCGGGAACAGGAAGAGGAGAAGAAGTCATACTGGCCAGAGCAGTGTTTCATTTTTCTGATTTTTTTTTTTGGAGAAGTGAAATCCATCTTTGATGGAAAAATAAATCAAAACATTGGCGTTCATAAATCAACAGGTCAACATCAAGTAAATATCCTCAGATTCTCTCTCTATCAACTGCCGGCCCGTGGGCCAAATCTGGCCATGATAACTGTACAATCCGGCCCATGACTGGATTCCAAAATAAACATCAGACGAAAATGTGACTTTTTTTTTGTTTGTTCCGCAAAGTATTCCAACAAATATAGTTGGCGACCCCTGCTGTAAAGTGGAGGTGTTTAAGAGATGACTCAAGTTTGTGTTCTGAGAAGTGATCTTGACAATTGAGCTGACCTTTGTGTGACCTTGTCCTAAAATAGTTTTCAAAGAACCTTAGTGACCCAGAGAACACATTTTTTAGGCTTGACTGGAATTGTTTTGGTTAAAATACCCTGATAACCAGGGTATTGACCAGGATGTAACCTGTCAACAAAAGTAAGATCATCAGAAAACAAACCGGTTCAAAGGACAGGAGTCTTTAAAGAGTATTTAATTATCTGAATTTGAATTTTCTAAACTTGTATTTTATTAATGATGTCTCTAAATCGAAGAAAACATTGTATTCTTTACTTTGATGTTTTAAATGTTTTGAATCGTATTAAAATCAAAGTAATGAGACAGCTGTCAGATTTGGCTCCGTCCGACGTCGGCTTTCTTTTCCCAAAACTGGAAGAACATTTGAAAAGAACTGGATTTCAACCTTAGACCTGACAAAAAAATAATAATCTCTGACTGAGAGTTTGGTCTTTAAATGAGAAACACGTAGAGAAATAGTTTGGTTATTTCCATAATTTCCATAATTCTTTTACTTCAACTTTTCCTCTCATCAGACTGTGTATTGATTTTCTTTTTTTTTTAAGTTTCTCCAAACCAAAGAACAAAAATGTATTTTGTCACAAATACTTCAGTGGTGTCTTTGAAGGTTGTGGCTTCACCATTGGACGTGTGATTGTTGAAAAACGTGCGTTAGACAAAAACCAAGCTCGGAGCTGTGGTTGGTCTGCCAGTGATTGCTTAAATAAAATGCTCTCAGTTCTTAAAGGTAATTTCACGCATTTATTCATTTCACATCTGTGCTAATGCAGAACAAATGTTTTTCCAGACTTCCTTCATTGTTTTTTTTTTTTTCTTCTTCTTCTACTTGTCTGGGTTCGTGCCTCTGTGTTTAAGCTCCAGTTGAAAGCTGAAACATCTTGAGAGCTTTTGGATGCTCTTTAAACCAGCTGGGTTCACGTCGTACACGGGGTGAGTAACGACGATGGTGAAGTTAATTGAATAATATTTGTCATAACAACCACATGTGATGTGCACGGGGAGAATCGCATTTACAAACTCCAACAGTGGAGGAAGCCCTGTGGGAAAAAGTCTCCCAGAGCGACCACAGAAACGTGTGTGGACGACAGGGCTCTCCACACTGATGCCCACATCACTGAATCACACACAGCCTTTGAGGCCCAGCGTTAAGCTCGGAGCGCCGGCCACCGTTCAGCTCAGTTCTGTTTGAGTCAGTGGCTGTCCGGGCTGCGGCCGTCCAAACATCCAGACCACTGCATCTGTCACACGGTGACATCATTACACGACTGCCACCGAACCCCTCCCTGAAAGAACACCAACTCCCAGCTGCAAGGTGCTGCTACGCCCACATCTAAACCACAAGGAACATGGTTCTCTAAATGTAGAATCTGCCCCCCCAAAAAAAAAAATCATCAGACTAGAGCTACAGCTAATGCTTCATTTGCTAATGTATTATATTATATTAAACAACTAAAAAAATACATTTTTAAAAATGTAAAAAAAAATAGAAAAAACTAAAAAAGACTTTGTAGAAGTAGCAGAAACAACAGCTACAAAAAGATATATAAATATAAAGGTTATATTTATACATAAAAAATATATACATAGAAATAGCAACAGCCATAATTATGAGTTAAAGTATTCAAATATATGTGAATATATTTACAGATATATTGAAATAAAAACAGAAATAACACAAAAGTCTATATATTTTTATAAAATATTTATAACGTTTTTAAACTACTCCAACTCAACTCCTTGGACCTTTTCTATCGTTCTTCTTCTTCCCTCCATCAACAGGTTCTAACATAATGCAGTAAAAACACCACAGTCTGGGTTACAGTGACACTGAGAGGTGGGGGTGGTGTACCACAGCCAATGCTCTCCCACCTGAATAAATACTGGTATTTGTCTAGGCCTAAATATGTGCATTTACTCTGCAGACATTTTAGATTGCTCTGCACACACACACACACACACACACACACACACACACACACACACACACACAGGCCCATTACCATCCCCGCTGCGTGTCATTCCTGTCTAACATCCCAATTTATCACAATCATAGTCATTTAGAGGCACATCTGACATCTGAGCAATGCTGCAAGTCCAAACAGTTCCACATGGGAAAAGTCATGAAAATACAATGAGCTGCGTCGATGTGGCTGCACACGACACCAGCGCCGCGTTTCCCTCTGCCTTCAAACCCAAGTCAATGACAGGAACGATCAGAGTACGACGTCCGTAAGACCACGATACGCCTGAAGAAAACTTATGAATAGTACTGTTTTCACAAATGTTAGGAATAGTTGAATATATATGTACACGTAGAGTCAAATACAGTACATATATGTGTATATATTTGTACATATATTTATTTATATGTATGCATGTATACAGTATGTGTAAATATATGTATGTGTACATATATACTCTATGTATATGTAAATATATGCATGTAAATATATACACATATATTTTTCGAATATATATTTTTATATATGTATCTATACGTATATATTGAAGTTAAGTGCCTGCTTTTCAAAATATAAATATGTCCTTCTCACAAATCTCCCGACTTTGACCACAACACCAGCAAAGACCTAGCCGTGGTCATGTCGTGACGAACACTGTCGGTGTTGCTTACGTTTTTTTCTGTTATATCCGTGTCAAGCGTTGGTTCATGTTTCACTTTATTCATTCAGAATCTTCTCAACCTCAGTTTTTAAAATCAGAAATCTATGAATGTTGAACCAAAATTGAAAGAAAGCATCAGAACTATTGAAACGGACTTAAATGAAGAATATCGAGACAAATAGTTGGATTATTTTTATAGAAAAATACAAATTGAAATATATATATGTTTGAATGATATATGTTGTTAAACACAGAACCTTTGCTGTTGTCAGTCTGTACCGTCCTGTCAGCAGACGGCTGCAGTGACTTTTATGGAAAACCCGCTCATTTTCAACTCTTACGTGAACGTTTCAAATTAATTCGGGAAGTCCTCGTAATAAACTATATAAAATACAGAGTTACAGGAATAAAGGGCCACATGTGCCAGATCCTTTATTAGATTAGAGGGGGGAAAGACGTTTCTCATGCAAAAATATACCCAGTCAGTGAAATCCATTATTAGTGCTGGAATTCTCATTAAAAACAGACAGAGAGCAGAGGAATAAGTAACAGCTCTGGATAAAAATAAAAATAAAATATGAATCTTCAACTGTCTGTTGGTGGATGTCTGAGTAAGACTCTGGCACAGGGTCGGGACTCAGCTTAACCCTCTGAACTTGATCCCTGTCTGTTAGCGATGTTCAACCGTGTGGCGACAAACGCACGGAGAACACAAGCGTCTTGTTTGGAGTGAGTAAAAACAACAGGATGGTTTGACGGAGTTCCTCCGGGGATTAACGCAGCTCAAGGTGGATTCTGGTCACGAATGAGAAGTTGTGAAATCCAGTCTTTTAAAGAATTCACATTTGTCTACAGTTTTCCCCCCCTCTGTGTGTGTCTTTGTGTTACCATCAGGTCTATGGTCTGTTTCAGAGTGGCTGTCAGGATCAGGGCTAACGCTGCTACAGCTACAGTCAACACGGTGGATCTCAGGCCACAGGTTTTCAACATCTAACATTGTGGGCCTCCCTCCAAGGAGCCAAAAAAACAAAGCAACTGTAGTCCCCGAGTTTCCAAAATGCAAAAGTGGAGAAATTCTGTTTTATTCTTATGCAAAAACTATGAAAAATTTTTTTACAAGTTAGTGAAAAAAACAAACTTCTAATGTTATATATAACACTGTCATACTTTTTCTTACAAATATTAGTCATTCTTCTGACTCAATGTAAACAAATCCATCCCTTCCTCGTTGATGAGCTAGTTCATGTTGTCCTGCAGGAAACTGAATTCTTATTGGTTGTTGACAGTCACCTGATTCACAAACTGCGTCTGTTCATGTTATTTTCTTCCTTCTCAGAATCTCTTAAATATAAAAGTGCTTCCTCCTGCAACCACGTGGTCAAAACGTCATGGAGTCTGACCAGGGCCCGTTCGTTTTCAGCAGCATGCTAACGGTTTAGCTTAGCGTAGTCTGGTTTGAACCTAAAGATCCATCAGTCCATCTGCTCCTTTTCGCTCGGTTCTATACCCAGTTCTGATGGATCTCTCAAACCGCTGACACGGTGAATTTCCTCCAGCTGACCTGCTCCTGGTTGTTACCGTCCTCTGGTCCTCCAACACCTC